GTTTAAAACCTTAATAAAAAATTATTTTTTTTAAAAAAAAAAGTAAAAGTTACATTGGCTCCTGCTGGGAGAAAACGTGAAAAGGTTCTGTGGTTGCTGTTACAGGTCATGGGTTTTGCATTTTATTGACAAGTGGCTAGAATGGGGAAGAATGAGCTTGGATTTGCATTGCTAGTTTTCAATGTTTTGTTTTTGTTTTTTTCCCCACTGAAGAGCAGTTGGGGCTGAGCAAGATTTCAGTGGGATGGTGGCTGGAGAGGTGAGAGGTGACCTGGGTTAGGTTCTTGCCTATAATCTATCAACAAGCTTTGACCAGATAACCTGCACAGATTTTAGTTCTGCGTGGGGGAGCCAATGACTAGGTACTTGTTATAAGAAAAAACTGCTCCTTTTTCCCTTATGGGGTATCCAAGAGCCTTATGTAGGTTCTCTATTGGTAAGAGAAAATAACAGAGGCCAACCAGAGAATATTGAGAAGCAAAGCAGCTAGTAAGCATGATATTTATTAAACTGTTTGCAACGGGGTCCCCCGCTCACCCCACATAGGTAGGGAGGAGAGGAACCCAAAGGTGGGGAACCTTTCGCCCTCTGGGTGTTGCTGGACTCCATTGCCCATCAGACACAGCCAGCAGGGCCAGTGGTCAGGGTTCATGGGAGTCCAAAGATACCACAAGAGCATCACCTGACTATTTCTGCCAAGGATGAAAACAGCTATAAAATTCTTTGACAAATACCTAATATTCCTGTGCTTGGTGATGTGAATTATTTGAGTCTTTGGAACTCCCCTGAAGTGCCTTCCACAGCATCTCTCCTATAAACATTAAAGGGCTCCACTTATGCTCTCCTTATCAGCACTTGGTGAAGATAGGAAAGGAATTACTTTTAAGATACAGAGGGCTGTTTATAATAATTAACACAGACTTTCTGGCTAGGACTAAGTGCAGCCAAGTAGGTGTGGGAAGTCCTGTCTTCCAATGGGAGATCAAAGCAGCGTTCTCCCAAGCAAAGGTCCTGAGATACTGCTAAGCTTTGAAGACAACTGTCTTGGACGTTGCGGCGGGAGGAATCTGACGCAGGGCAGTCCACCCGGGCTCACTCACCTGCACATTCTCCTTCCAGAGAAAAACACAACAGTGAGCTGCTGTTTCCTTCCAGCCAATCAAGCTTGTTAAAAAATCAAGAGTCTATAAATTGAGTGTAGTTTTGCCCCCAAGAATATGGTGTCTACGATTTCTTTTGCTATTGTTTATTTTTTGCAACTTATATGAATTGCAACTTATTACCAAACTTAAAACCAAGGAGAGACCTGGTCTTAATAGAGACATTGGATTCTTATCTCATTTTACATGGTAAAGCTATTTTTAGCCATCTCACCCCTTGCTTTTTCCTGTAAGACCAATTGCAGTCGTTGTCAACAGGTTTACCACACCTATCAGCCAATCACTCATTTCCATCACCCTTCTGAGTAATACCCCTCCCCACCCTCTCACTATATAGAAGGGTCTGGTGACTTCTGTATCTGAAGAAGTGTGCATGCACACGAAAGCTCATACCAATAACAAACTTAGTTGGTCTCTAAGATGCTACTGGAAGGAATTTTTAATGTGTTTTTATGTATTTTAATGTGTAGCTTAAATGCTGATTTTGATTATATTTTGAATTTTTTAAAACTTGCTTTTAAAAACTGGCTTTTACTGGTTATATTGTATGGGGGATCGTAAATTGCTTGGAGGTTTTATTTACAGCTAAGCAGCACACAAATTTTATTAAATAAATAAAATAATGGTGAGCCCCACACCTGAGAATCTGGTGCAGAATTTGTCCTCCCCCTGGTGAAATTTGAGGCAGAGGGTGCTCCATTTTCTCTGTTCAGGCAGAGAGTTAAGAGGGTCCATTTGCTCACACCTCCAATTCTGAA